GTAGTTTCGCAAGTAGAAGCGGCTGTCACGGACAAGCTCTTCCTCCTGGCGAAGGGAAAGGCTGTCAGCCAGGGCACCTGCGGGTGCTGATGCTGCAGGGCGAGCAGGTGCCTGTGACTGCATGTCCTACACACCCTGTGGTGCTGGGCAAAGAGTGCCCGGTTCAAGGTTGGGCGCTTTGTCAGAGGGCCCAAACCACACAGGCAAGAGCAAAGGACCAGCAGGCTGCAGGCAGGGCAGGCAGTGGTGTGCACAGAGTGTGGGGGCGAGTACTGACCCACCACCCTCTCAGCCAGCATGTGTTTTAGGGGTGCATCTAAAGGCAACCCCGACCCTGGCAGCCCAACACAGATCCTCCCAGCTCCAGCTTGGAGGCGTGGGAAGTCTGACTCTAGGGAAGCTGCAGGGACAGGGGTGAGCTGGTAGGAGGGGGAAGGTGCGTGTGGTGGTGCAGGGTGCAGGGAGCTTAGGGGTGCACTGTGGCAGCTGTGTTTGCTTTGGGGTGGAAATGTGTGTGTGATGGTGAATAGAAGGGGAAGGGTACCTTGCTGGGGCAGAGCTGGGAAGGAATGCAGGGGCCTGGCTACCACCAGAGATTGCAGGGCCCTCCAGTCCCTCCAAGGGCCCAAACCCCCATTTCTCCCCATGGCTGCTTGAGAGAGGCTGCCTGGTGCAGCAGAGGAGGGAGGCTGAGAGAGCTGGACTCCTTGCTGGTGTCTCTGCACTTGCTCACCCTGTCTCCCCCCATGCTGGTGGGGGCACTGCACAGAGGGCAACCTGCCCATGGGGCTGCATGTCCATGATCAAGGCTAAAAATGTGCTATGAAAATCTCTGGTTGCAGCCCACTGCTATTGTTCAGGGCACAGCCTTGCTTGCCTCGTGGTCCCTTAGGTGCTGGCCAGCAGTGCCTGCACTCCTTACCAGCAGGTGTGCATTGTTAGCCCCTTGTCTTGTCCTGCCGTTTTATCCTTGGAGAGGGTTGTGTGTGCAAATATTTTGCAAAGGACAGGCACGTGCAAGCACAGGCTGCACATCTGGCGTTTCACTGAGTCCCTGAACCACTCATTTGGTCTCTGTGGCACAACTCCCCTCTGCCCTGCTGGTGCTGTATGGTGGGTCCCTTCTCCCAGGGACCACTGCATGCCAGCACTTTGCCTCGTGTCGTGCCCACACACTGCCTGGGTGCTGAATCCCAAACGCCATCTCCAACAGGCACTGCCCTCCAGGACATGGAGAGCAGCCTGCTCGCTGAGGTCAGCCCGGCTGGCACAGGGGGCTCTCATGCAGAGAGTTTGTACCCTGACATCTTTATTTAACTCAGCAATCCACAGCCTAAGCAAGTATTTTTTGTTTCAGTGGGAAGAGCATCTGTGGCTCAAATTGCTGAGATGAGTTCTCACTTGTAGTGGAGTTTTATTTCCTTGCCCCAGGCTTGCTTGTGGCTGCCCTCGAAGAGGGGAGCTGGGGAGCCCTGTGTGCCCCAGGGCCCAGCAGCTATGCCCCCAGCCCGGGGACTCAGCAGTGCCCAGTCAGAGAGTGTGGGAGGAGATGGCAGACTGGCAGTCCTGGTCCTCCCAGCTGGAAAGTCCCTTTGGTCTGGGGCAGCCTCAGGGTGTGTGAGGGGCTCCTTGCCCCAGATATGGGTGGTCTGTGAGAGGGATTTGCCCTCAGGCTATAGCACCCAGGCTTTGCTTTGTCAGGCACAGGAGCTGCATGAAGCAGGGCTGCACCAGTCTCTGACCAAGCAGCACCCTGTGGTGCTCCTGGCTGCACCCAGTGCTGTGCCAGCAGCACCCAGAGGTGGCTCTGCAGTCTCCACCTCAGGGTGACTGCACTTTGGTCTGTCCTAAGCCAGCAGATGGTCCCTAGGTTGGACAGAGCCTCCTCCTCCCTGCCCTGTGCTGGCTTGGGTGGGTGTTGGTCTCCAGGAGTCAGTGCTTCAGGGGCTGTGAAAGGCAGCGAGCAAGGGAGCATGCTGGGGGCTGGGAAACATCTCCTGGCGGCCAAGGGCTGATGACGGTGGAGGGGTGGCAAGGATGACCAGGCCTGACCTCCTCCCTGGAGCTGTGGTCAACCCCCTGCATCTCTCCACAAGCTTGGGATCCTGCCCTGCCCCACACTTCTCCCTACGCTTCCAGCTGCAAAGTGCCCGTGTGCCCTGGACACTGCCCATGCTGGAGTGACTGCAGGCAGCTGCGAGCACCTTGAACCTGCCCACACCGAGGCAGCTGGGCAGGCAGAGCCCTCACCCTGTCAGGGGCGTGGGCAGCAGCCCAGGAGAAGCCATCAGTCTGTCTCAGCATCACCCACCCCTCAGCAAAGGGGTCTGCACTGATCCTGCTTTACAGAAGGGGAAACCGAGGCATGGAGTGGGGCTGTCTACAGGGAAATCTGCTCCATTCCCATCCCTCTTTCACAACTTTTGAGCCCAGGGAGCGGCAGCTCCATCCCATGGGCACATACTCAGTGCAAATCACTAGCCTGCTTCTTCCACGGGTCCTTGCTGGCCCCTGGGGCTGGCTCCTGGGGGCTTGTTCTGGGGAGGGGAGGGTGAGGCTGGCTGGGGAAGCACTGCGCTGGACTGCATGGGGGCTGCCGGAGGGTCGTGCTTTACCCGGGAGCTGGAGAGCTGCGAGAGCGTCGCGTAGGTGTGCTCGCTGCTGTGCTGGCTGCTCAGCTGCTGCAGGGACTCCAGGCTGGCCGTCCCGCTGCTCAGGCCCTTTTGGCATCCAGCAGTGTGCACCAAACAGAAACAGGACAGCGGGTGACCGATGGCTCCACTCCGGCCCCGGGGCAGTGGCTCTGGGCACCAGGATGGGGACGGCAGGGAGACAGAGGCTCAGCACGGGGGGGAAAAGCCCTCCCAGCAGTGCCCCAGCACTGGGATCTGTCTTCAGGGATTTGGTTGCACAGGGCAATGTGATCCTGTGTGGTGTGTGTGTGTGCACTCATGTTTTCCATGAAGATCTGGTGCCTCACAGTGTGTTTACATGAAGAAAATGAGTGTGGAGCAGCCACATGTCTACCACAAGCATCTTGAAGGCCTGATGCCTGCGGTGATGGGCTGATAGAGGGGAGAATTATTCCATGAGTGAGGGACCCTGCCTCTCCAGATCTATAGCCCAGACCTGCCCCTGGGTGCCACCAGTTCCCCTCAGTGCTTCACCACCCTGATGCATCAGTGAGCCCCCGTCACGGCTGCGCACAGCAAGGAGCCCAGGTTTGGGGCTGCAGGTAAGGGGAAATGCTGTTTTTCCCCTATCCTCACTGTTTATTTTTCTGCTTTTTTAGAGGAAGCAGAGCCTGAGGACGTCCCAGAGTAGAGAGCACCCTAAGCATGTTTGAGCTGGTGGGGCCTGGAGCACCCATGGGTGCTGTGCACTGTGCTGCTCAGGCAGGCAGGAGGACTGTGGTGCCCGTGGATTCTTGGTGTGCCAGCAGAGCTGGCCACAAGCCCTGGGCAATGGAATGCAGCTCAGCGCCAAGCCCTGCCCTGGGGGCTGCTGAGAAAGTGGTTCTGCAGCCCTGGGGTGTCCCCTCAGGGGCTGAGGATGGGCAGATGTCATGAGAGCAGTGGTGAGGGGGACTCACCATCCTCTGCCGTCGCTGGCGGCGGCGCAGGCGCATGAACTCCTTATGCTGGCGGGAGACGAAGTTGACAGCTGCATACTCCAACAAGGCGGCAAAGACGAAGAGCAGGCACACAGCCATCCAGATGTCAATGGCCTTCACGTAGGAGACCTGCCAAGGTGAGAGGTGGCTCAGGGACCCACTGCCCCCATCTCTTTTATCCCCCCCACTGCCAGCTTCATCCTGCTGCCAAGAAGCACAGGAGCTCTCTCAGCCTGAACACATGGGCACAGCAACGCTGTGTGCACATGTGGTGCCCCAGCTGGCAAGGCTACAGAGCCAAGCCATTCCCAGTGAAAGGCTGCCCCGCCCCTGGAGCACTGGGGGTGGCAGTGGGCGCCCAGCACGGAGCCAGCACTGACCTTGGGCAGGGAAGCACGGGAGCCGGCGCTCTGCGTGGTCATGGTGAGCACAGTGGTGATGCCCAAGCCCACTCGGGCTGGCGCCGCATCCATGTTGATCCAGAAGGAGACCCAGGAGAGGATGACGATGAGTAGGCTGGGGATGTACATCTGGATCAGGTAGTAACCCATCTGCCTCTCCAGGTGGAACTTCACCTCAATGCAGGTGAACTTTCCTGCAGGGAAAGATGGCCCTAATGGGCAAGAGGGACCCCTGGGCCATGGTGAGGGGCTCGCAGCAGGTCCCTGGGGTGCTCACCTGTGTTGTAGTACTTGGTGCAATAGCCCAGGTCCTTCTCATCCCTGAGGATGAACTGTGGGAGTGTCAAGCCCTCTGCCACCTGCACGGCCTCCTGCTCCTCTAGCCACTCGAAGATGAGATCGTTCATGGTGTAGCCAACTGGAGGGGATGTAGGGAGCCATGGGATGGGGAGGAGTACACACACTATTCAACCCCACCCTGAACAACTGCTCTTCCCTGCTCACCTCCCTCTGAAGAAGAGAGATGCCAGATTTTGGGATGGGATGCAATGGGATGGGATGGGATGTGATGGGATGCAATGTGATGGGATGGATTGCAGGGGGATGAAATACAGCTCGAACCCCGTAAGGTACTCACAGCTCTCCAGCTGCATGGTGCATGTCTGGATGTCCATGGGGAAGTTCTTGAGGTCCATGGGGCAGGACAGGATCAGCGTCAGCCTGGAGGAGGCAGAGGAAAGGAGGGGGTTGCTGTGGGCTGAGACCATTGGTGGGGAAAAGCTGCCACACAGTAGGCAAGAGGACAGCTTTGCCTCCCCACTCAGGCACTGCACCAGAGGAAAAGGTTCTACCTAATGCTGTAGAGCACATTGCCATTCTTGAAGATGCGCAGCAGCTTGTTGTCAGTGGTGACCTCATGGAAATTGGCCCCTTTCTCGTTGGCAAAGAACAAGTCTGGCTTCCAGATGGAGTCGAGCATGGAGGGGTCGAGGTCAAGGGAGTCGTCGGGGTACTCGCGGTAAGCCAGGCGGGGGTCGTTCCACTGCTGCCGCAGGAAGACGTTCACCCGGTAGTCCTGGGGCAGAGGGCACCGTGTCAGCTGGGAGCACCTCACGGTGCCCAGATAGGAGGAGGAGGAGGAGAAGCAAAAGGAGGAGGACGAAGAAGAGATGGAGGAGGAGGCGGAAGAGGGTCCCTCCATTGAGGCTTAGCCCTGCAGTTGCTGCCTGCCTGCCACTAATGACGCACGTGGGAAGGCACAAGGGCAGCTCAGGAGACTTTCCGTGCTGTTGGCAGCTAGGGGAAATTAAAAAGCCAAAGACATGGCAGCTGAGAGGAGGAGGAAGACGAGGAAGACCAGTAACTGCTGTCTGTAGCATTCTGCACATGGGTCTGTGGGCCTGTTGGTATGATGGCTGATGGTATTAAGGCTTTGCAGAAGCACAAATAAGGAATTTTTAGCCCTGGGGCTTCCTCAGAGGGGTTCCTCATGCACCCAAGGAGGCTGGGGATGGCAGGGGGCTACCTCGGGCTGCCTCGATACGACCCTTTGGGGGTCTTTCTCCCATCTCAGGCACAGGGAATGTGACTCACAACCAAGCTTGGGTTAACTGACCCCAGAAAAGTCATGGCCATGTGCTATGGCTTTGTATGTGCCCACTGTGATGCCAGAGCTGACTCCAGAGAAGAGCTCACAGGACCCCTATAAGCACAGCTATGGGCTTGGGCACTGGGACCCACACACTCCTGGGCACAGCCACCACCAGCCCCGAGGCACTGGGAGAGGAGCTCATCACATTGCCAAAAGCCTCACCATGGTGGTCTCGGTGACGGATCCAAAGCTATTGATGAAGATGTTGCACGTCACGTTGACAGGTGGACCTGGAAAACAGCGTGAAGCCTCCTCTTGTCGCAGGCCGTGGAGACACGTGCACTGTACAGGCACACGTGGGGACACTGCGGTGCTCCTGCATGTGCTGCGTGGATGAATGCACACAAGCACCCCCTGGCTGCTGGGGCCAGACCTGTGGTGCGTCAGGGTGAACCCCAGCACGCTCTGCAAGCACTGCAGCCACCCACACTGTGTGGCAAAGCAGCACACACAGGGCAGAAGCAGCCGGGACTCTGGGGAGGGTGTTGGGACAGAAGATTGTGGTCAGGGTCCTGCTCCACCCAAAGTTCATGCCCTGGGTTTGAGCAGCCACAAGCATGGATCGCTGCCAGGTTTGGGATCCTCACATCCTCCTCTTACCTTTGAAGTTGGGTCGAATTCGGGCGTCATACCCTGATGTTCGTCCCATGAGCTTATCCAGGAAATCAGAGGGTGACATGGGCTGGGGTGAGCTTCGGGAAGCAGCTTTAATCTCCTCCCGCCCTGCGACCAGCCTGCAGGGCAGAGGAGGCAGGTTAGCTGCCTGCCAGCACCAGGGGTCTGCAGGCACATTTTAGCATCCCATGGGGACTCCCACCTGCCAAGGCAAGTCGCTGTGCCTGCACCACATCTGCTCCAGTGACATGTCAGACCCTGAATCCCTTCCTTCTGCTGTGATCCTGGTGGATTCTCCCCTCACCTGTCACAGCTTGAGTGTCACATGCCCACATTTTGCTTGTCCCCTTTCCAGGAAATCTCCTGCCCACCATGTCCCTTGGCATGGTGTTGGGGGCCAGATGCCTCCCAGCTCCAAGGCTGTGATGGGGACAGGGCACAGCAGGCCATCTCTTGTGCTCTGTGTCGGGCTCTGTGTTCCCTTACAGGTTTAATCGCCAGCTCCAGCTTGAGTTGCTGAGAAAACAGTCCCTGCCTAGCATAGTCTCATGGCTTGGGGGACTTGGGGGACACAGCAGCCGTGCCTGAGCCAAGGGCTGGCCTGGAGTGGGTGAGGAGGTATCCAGGAGCAGAGCTGGGGTCCTGACACCGTACTAGGGGTCAAGGTGATGTGGCAGGAGTGAAGCAGCAAAGCGCATCTCTGCACCAGCCATGGTTACATGAGCTCTCCCACACAGCGCTCCTAACGATGATGGAGATTTATTTAAACTGACTTTGGAGGGGATATTTTTGTGAATGCATCTTAGCCTGCCAGTTTCTCTCCTTCTGTCAGTCTATAATGATAATTTCAAAGAACAATGCGAGAGATATTTGCTCACCACATTGCCAGGCATGTAACTGTGATGGAGAGGAATTAGCCAAGGATCTCTGGACACAAAATGAGCTTTAAGCATGCTGCTGGTGGGTGCTGCTGCATGCTGCCTTATAACTCCACCAGGTCCATGAAACCCAGGTGGGTTTCACTCCTGCTTGGAGCTAGAACCCCATTACCACAAGCAGAGGATGATGCTGGGAGCTGGGAACCCCGGAGTCCTTCTTCCTACCTCCTTGTTCTCAAAGGAGTGGGATTCATCGTAGAGGGGCTTATGTGCATCCTCACCAGCTAGAAATGGCCACAACAGCCACCCCAAAATGATCCTGTTGGGCAGGTTTTCCCTTAATTGGAGATGGGCAGCAGAGAGTACCAGAGACTGGTTCTGACCTAGAGCAAAAGGCTGGGAGAAATTCCCCACCTAGCAGCTGCATTAGCAAGGTGTGGTGCCTTTGGGAGGAGGGCTGTGAGAGGTCAGGGTAACAAGGAGTTAAGTCAGGACTCTGCCTGCCACATAGCTGTGAACCATGTCCTCCTCAGCTGGCGAGGAAGATGAGGATTCTCCCCTGAAGCACGTGGGAGGAAGGCTCCCTTGGCAGGGAGCTCCTTGAAGAGCCGGAGCCACAGCAGATCTGCAGCTCCAGCAATGCTCAGACCCTGGGGACTGTGTGTGGGATGCACAAATGCCATGAGTGCAGCCACTTCCAGCGGCATCACTAGTAGGGTCATGCTGGCACGAAGCCCTTGGGCACAGCCACTGCCTGCAGCTCCCCACTTCAGGCACTGCCTGCCCTGGGGGCCTCTGCCACAGTCCTGGGCTGAGTTCTTCAGGGAGCTCAGCACCTTTCTGGAGTGAGTGGATGATAGGGCTGGAAAATGTTAACATCTGCCTAAAAATGCCACCTCAAGACAAGCAGTTTTCTGCAATACTATTTCCCCCCTCCCTGCCACTGATGTTGCAGTTTCCTCCCCATGCTGCTCCATCTATACTGGTCAGGTGGTGGGAGAAGGAGTGGGGGCAGTGAGCAGGTTCATCCCAGGAGCACTTCAGCCCCCCAAATCCTCCCTGCATCCCACCTTGTCCCAGATAGCACCCAAGATGAACAGGGATGGAAAAAGGTACCTGGGGGGCTTTAGATTTTCCACCCAAGTGAACCAGGAATTGTTCCTGCACCCATGGGACCTGGGGTACCCATCCACTGGCCAGAGAGCTCCAGGGACTGGGTCAGGGACTGTCCTGAGCTCTTCTCCCCCCAAACACCATGAGCCAGGAGACGGTCTGGACGCCGCAGGGGCTTTGCAGCACCGGAGAAGGAGCTGCCTGGGCTACCCCCGGCTCAGCTTGCCCTTTCTCCCACCGTGAGACTTCCCAGCTGGTTTACGGCCAGGGGGACCTCAGGGACGAAGCACTGGGGCAGAGGCTGCTGGGAACAGGCAGAGTTTGGCTGTGTGTGGTAGGGGGCTGGAAGGAGAAGGTCTGGTGGGTCCCTCGGGGTGCTGGGTCAGGGTCCTGGGGAACGAGAGGCAAGGCCAAATTTGGGGGGGGGAGGCTCTGATGGACGGCAGGGAGGTCCAGATAGGGACTGAGAGCGTTCTGGCTGGACGGATCGGGTCCTGGAGAGAGGTCCGGATCGGGGGTCGGG